GCCTCACACGTACTAGCTCTCCGGCAAGTATCTTCGAATGTGGCCCATGCCGAACTGTTTCGAGCTGCAGACGTCGCTTGAACGGGCTTCCGCCACTTATTCCAGTATATAGATCTTCTTTCTCCTCTGACGATGTTTCTGAAACTCCCGCAGGTGTTCAAAAGTAGGCCCTCTACTGCTATTTCTTTAGTGCCACAGCTTCACAATGCACGGCGCAGTGGTCGAAAAAAGAAGTCCTATGAATTCATAGTGAGCGAAAATACAACTCAGGCAACGCAGTCGTCTGCTGTTAGGAGTGCTGCTGTGCAAGTTGCAAAGAAAAAGGGGTCGAAGCCTAAACCCATACCTGGGTCAAGTTCGTCACATTCCAAGCTGACACGTGTACTTGATCGCGTCAGCCATCTAGAAAAACTGAGCAACGGAAGTCTACATAACACAAAACCGCAGCCTCGCGTTGGATGTGGACACTCTTCGAGATCGAGGTCTGATAATCATTAATGCTACCGAATTCAATGAGACATCTGTTGAGATGATATTGGATAAGCAGGCCTTCATACAGCGAGCCATTTCCCTTATTTGCGACCCAGACTAACAAAGAATAAATCACATTTCTACTTTTCTTCTTGGCAGGAAGAAAGAGGACCCCTTCGAAGCCCGTCTTATGAAAATCAACTGTTAGAGTGAGGACGAATGCTATCGCATTCTCCGAGGAACTTTTCGTCTCAAAGGAGACATTCTACATCCTAAGGGACCTATCCCCGGAGGACCGAATTAAAATGCAGCAAGTTGTCGATGAATCGCGTACGTGTAGAGCGAACGGAAAAACTGACCTCGGTACTGTGGATTTTCGGGTAGTCCAAGAAACCCCGAGAACTCACTGGAGACCAGTCTTCTCCATCCCATGAATTTAAGATCGAAAGAGGGAATATGTGTGATATGTGCGCAGCTTAAGAAACAAGCTAGATGAGATTCATCACTTCACCTCAGAGCACCGCCTGGATTTCATGGCTTGCACTGAGTTGATAGTCTTAGGACATCTCAGACACGGAGGTGCGTATCTAGGAATGTAATCCTGCTCGAGTCGAGCAGGAGTGTTCCCTTGCGGAATCTCACGATGTAGGCGTTGAAGTGCTGCCTGGTGAACGGTTAGTTGATCTAGATTACGCGGACGATATCGTCTTGCTTTTCGACAATGTTGAGGCGGCACAATCAACCCTGAATAGCCTATCCAGAGTGGTCCCATTATTTGGCATGCACTTCGCACCTTCAAAGTGCAAAGTGTTGCTGCAGGACCACCAGCCACTCGATGACTCCTTGACGCTTGCTAACGAGGAACTCGATGTGGTTGATCAATTCACTTATCTTGGCAGCTGCATCAGCAATGATGGGCGCATAGAAACTGACGTGAGCTCACGCATTGCAAAGGCCAGAGCTACCTTCTTGAACCTGCGTCATCTTTGGCGACAGAAGGGAGTTTCCCTCCGTCTGAAAGGCCGTGTATACAAGGCCACAGTGAGGGCCGTTCTGCTCTATGGTAGTGAAACTTGGCCCCTTCGGTCTGAAGATCTGAGGCGCCTTCAAGTCTTTGATCATCGTTGTTTGCGAAGCATTGCTGGTGTCGGATGGCACCAGCGTGTCCGCAACGATGATGTGCGTAGGCGAGTACTAGGGGGTGATGATCATGCTAGCTCCCTAGAACAACAGATAGCACTGAATAAGTTGCGTTGGCTCGGGCACGTGCTACGCATGCCTGGTCACCGCTTACCTAGGAGGGCCTTGTTCAGTCTACCAGGTGTAGGATGGCGCAAGGCTCGAGGTGGACAGAAGTTGACTTAGGCAGCGGGAAATGAAGTCACTGACGACCAAACTGGGTGCCGTTGGTCCGTCTCGCCTTCCGGGTTGGAGTCCACGTGACTCACCTTGTGCTTGGCTCGAGACTTTACAGGACATGGCTCGCAACCGACACCAGTGGCGCGTCTGCTGCCGTCTCCTAATCGGATTGTCTGTTTAAAGTGTATTTGGTGCTGAGTTATCTGCGGGATAATGGCTGATTATGACGCGTGGCAGTGAAAGCCGCAAGGAAGCTGTCTCGCCGATGCCTTATCTTTGCACGATAGCCAGCTGTTTGTGACGGTATGTTGTCTACACAAGGTGTAGGCGCCTTGACCCAGAATGTTTGCTTACGGCATTAAGGTTTTCAGGTAAGTCCCCCTTCTCTCCCTCTTCTTATTCTTTATTTCCTAGATCCTCATGGTTGTATGGCAGCAAAGCATCAGTTCAAATGGCTGATGTACTGCTGTTGATGATGATGAGCGTACTGATGCTAGATCTGAAGGCGGTGTTATTCTTTATTGGAAGCTGCACCTCAGGGTTCATGTTGTGGGGGTTATCAGTGACAGCAACAGTGGCTGCGAAGTCCTTTGGTGTCGAGTGCACGACCGGTGCAGGTTTCGCATAATCGGCGTTGTTTACAGAGCCCCAATAGAATTAGGATTCTGTTTGCTGAACTCCGTACGGAAGTACGGAGGAGGCAAAGACTGCCTGATTATGGGCGACTTCAATGCCCCAAGTGTTGAATGGGCCGTAGCCTACAGTGATCTCTCCTCAGAGTCTTGGAGATAAACCTGATTCAGCCTGTTTCGACGCCTACTCGAGTACTTCTGGGCCAGACGTCGCACGTATACGACCTAGTGCTCACGCCTTTAATTTTTGACTTAACTGTTAACCATCTGTTTGGTAAAAGTGACCATCGTGTTTTATCATTTCTTTGAGCACGACGTTTCACTGTTAACGACAAGGATGTGTATCAGCGGATTTTCTAGCGCGCTGATCTCTCACGTCTAAGATCGGCCACAAATGCGTAAGACTGGAATGTTCCTCAACACCTGGAACTCGAGGATGCATGGGACCAACTGTGCTTTAAGATGGCATACCTCATTGATGATATCATATCGGCTATCAGGAAGCCATTCTGAAAGGGTCCTCCCTGGATTGACTGAGAACTGGGTCCCTGATGGATGAAAGAAATCTGTAGGACAAATGCAAGGTTAGCCAGTCAGCTTCAGTCTATTTTGTGTACAAAGCAGTTAGGAACTTATGCACTGTAAGAAACGTAAGAAGCGACAACTCTACGAACTTTGCTTGGTCAAACAGTCAATCAATGCTCCCAAGAAACTTATCTCTTATGTAAGATGAAGCACTAAAGTTGGCAATGAAATACCCGCCCTGTTTTCCTGTTGAGATAACGTCGTACTGCACGACGGTTATACTAAAGCGGAGCCACTTGCTTCGCAGTACTCTTCAGTTTACTCAGTCGAGATACCGTTTCCCATGGAATATGTTCGTCTATTCCCTTCTCTTTCTCCTCTTGAGTCCGAAGAAATCAGTACAGAGTTGGTGTTGAAGGGACTTCGTAAACTGGATGTCAATTAACCGGCGGACCCTGATGGCTTGTACCCCGTTTTCCTTAAGACCGTGGCCGAATACATTGCTGCTCCACACAGTCAAGTATTTCGGCTGTCTTGCAGGCTACCCCTTAGTTGAAAAGTGGGCATTGTGAAGCCCATACAGAAAGTCGGAGATCGACAAGATAAGGTTAATTACAGGTCAATTTGCCGAACATCAGCTGTGTGAAAGATCTTGGAGAGGATCTTTAAACGTTCGCTTCAACGGCACCTGGAAGACCTGTATCTCATCTCGTCTGCTCAGCATGGGTTTAGGAGGGCGTTTCTGCATTTCAAATTTGTTCGTCGCTAGAGGAAAGTGGGGGAAATCTTTAGACGCCGGTAAACGTCTGAACGTTATTTTCGTTGACTTTAGCAAAGCATTCGATAAAGTCCCCATGAACGGCCCCTTTGTAAGCTCTTTTCTTCCCTGGATAGCTGATTTTCTAAGAAGTAGTACAATGCGAGTGTAGGTTAATGAATCCCTTTCCTCACTCGTTCCGATGATTAGTGGCGTGCCACAAGGTTCTGTCATAGGCCTGGAACTAATTAAAATCTTCATCAATGTCCTTCCGACTGACATTAAAGCTGAGTGTTTAATCTATGCATATGATCTGAAGCTGTGGTGGGAGGTTGACTTGGATGGTGCTGACAGTCTACCGGCGACCCTTGATACGCTGTATGCCTGGTAAGTTCTTTGCGGCATACCTAGTAATAGCGGAAAGTGCTTTGTTCTCCCGATTGGCGTTTCTGAACCACTCGGCATCTATCACATCAGTGGTTCTTAACTCACAAATGCCTCTCAAACAAAGGATCTCGGGGTGATCGTGTCCTTCGATCTTCGAACAACTCACGATACACTGAAAAAGGTCGCTACAGGAAACAGGATGTTTTGGTCCATATGGTCATTCTTCGGATGACTCCTGATATCAAATGTGCGCTCTAGCCTCGAGTATGGCTTAACGGCAAGTTACTCACGGACTACATTTCAGTGTGACTTGATTGAAATAGTTCAGAGGCGAGGTTCAAAATCAATCCCTGTGCTTCGAAACTTGTCTTATTCTGCTCGACTCCAGCGTATGAATCTGTTCTCTCTCACCTACTGTCGTCGTCGTGAAGATCTGATTTACACGAGACGCATACTCAGAGGCGACTTAGGTAGTGACCTCCAACAATTCTACCAGCTCAACAGAGATAGCTCGACGCGCGGGCTGAGCTGGAAACTCTTTAAACCGAGGAGGCTCCACGTCCGTCCATAGACCACTCTATCCACCCGAGCGGTGAACAACTGGAAAAAATTATCGGAGGATGCGATCAGTGCTATTACTAAGAAATGTTTCAAGAAGCTGCTAGATTTACATCTGCTTACTGTGTCGGAGTCTTGCTGTTATCCGTGAAAATGTTCACACTTAGTGTGACATGCTTTTTCGCTATAACACGCACCATCTTCACACTGATCGGGAAGTGATGAAGCTGACAAGGGTTATCCCATATGCCTTACTGTTCAATGTATTCGATGTAATGTACGGGAGGAAAACGCAAACTAATGAAACTTACTGGACGGAGAGAACTGATAGTGGGTCACCAGCGTCATTCACACGTGCGTCTGTGAGTTCGATTTTTGATTCAGTAACATTACAGACAGTGCCAATGACTTCGCCAAGCTCTGAGGATTTGAGTTTTACACGGAACCCAGAATACTGACACTCCATAACCAGACCGTAGTACTAACAGAGGACCGAGGCAAGGTAGGTCAGTCCTAAGGACGATACAAGCCTCGGTTAAACGAGCATCCTGTTTCTTGCAACAGTAAGCGAACAAGAATCCCCAGTATTGTGACTTCTGTTTTACTTTCGCGGCGTCTGCAAAAGATGAGAAACGAAAGCACGATGTACCATCAAGCAGTACGAGGTTACAGAAATATGATAAAATAACCTTACAATAATCCCAGAAAATGTTTGGACCAGCCTCTTTCTAGGCCATTTTAAAGTCCTTTACGAGGCTGCATACTATTAACGCTGGAAGTAGGTTATTCCATCCATTAACTACACAAAGCGTATCGCACTGATATCGAGCCTTGATCATCGATGCTTGAGCTTCAGTTCCTTGGATCATTGGAATGGTAAGAATCCAATCAAGGTTTGAAACAGTCTTCTGACCGCATTGACGACATGAACAGGTGGATTGTCCCACTCGTTCACTACTCTGGCAGACAGCGTGTGGTCAAATCGGACCCGAAGTCTCCTTTGTTTAAGCAATTTCCAATGTTGACCTCGAGTCATACTGAAGGGATTGAATGGAAAAAATGCTGCTGTTCAGCTTCAAGTTCATCTCTAACGATTGGTCGTGTGAAAATCAAACCCGCGCGACTTCAAAAATAGGCTAGTTTCGACGCTGAATACGAGGTGAGCAAAGCAAGTTCCGTAACTCCAGACTCGATATAGATCCTCTCCTCTGAACCATTTCAGTCAAGTTGCATTCATACCTGGAAAGAGGATAAAAAGCGGGCAGTCCATACTCAAGAATCGGACGCACATGAGAACTGAACATGACCTGAAATTCTTCGGAGTCAAGCAGGAGAAGGATAGTCGTATGGCGAAAAACCACCGGTTGACAGAAGCGACTTTGCTCAAGGTATCTTCAGTCGATTTTAGGGCTGGGATCACAACGACGCCAAGGTCCCATTCACGATTAGAGTTTGGCAACAAAAGCCCACCGATATGAAAAATGCCGAATGGTTCGGAGGTAAAGATCGAAAAACGGTACATTTATCGTTATTTATGGGTAATGGACATCTGATTGACCAATCTTGCAGCGAATCGAGCCTTGTTTGTAACACATCAGGTCCACCCCCACAGGAGACTTCCATCCTTAGCTTTAAACCACCTGCGTAACTCAAACCACCTGCCCGTATTGCGGACGTCAGGTCACTTATAAGACTAAAATGTTCAGGGCCAAGAAGAGAGCCTTGCTGAGCACCGCTGGTCATTTTTACAGCGAAGGAAAGAGACACGTTTACTTGCACACGGAATGCGCGCTAATGCAGAAAATCGCGAGCCCAGAGAGGATTTTTCCTGAACCACCAATACCGAGAAGTTTACTAAGTAAATTTTCGTGTGGAGCCTTGTCAACATCTTTACTGAAATCAGCAAATACGACATCTAGCCGCTTACCAGATTCCATGGATATAGTCCACCTTTCTGGAGCTACCAGAAATTTAGTGACACATGAACGCGAACGACGAACCTAATGCTACGCAGCTGAAATGAGCATGTGGTTCCGGAAAGGCCGGTTGAGAGCGCTCTTAAGAATCCTCTCCACAACCTTTCGGAGGAAGGTGTCAGACGGATGGGCCGATAATTTGTAGGATCTTGTCAATTTCCTTCTTTGTATATGGGCTTTACTATGCCCACTTACCAGGCAAGCGGAAAACGTCCGGCCTCAAGTGAGCGCAGAAATAGGTGACAGACAGGAACAGCAATATATACGGCCATAATCTTGAGGAAAAGAAGAGGCTATGCATCAGGTCCCGGAAAAGCTTTTGGATCCAGCTCGCACAGAAGTTTGGATATCGTACTAACATTTAGGTCTATATCACTAAGAACCGTGAGCAAGGACGAATAGCAATGAACTGACAGCTCCACTGTCGCACAGCCCGATGAGTAATGGCAACCTAAGGGACTAGCTTTATCAGCATCGTCGTGGGGCACGGTGTTAGGAGCGTGGGAATGCAAGGACGGTATTCCACTTCCGGCACTGCTGCTTCTTTTTCAAGTGGGAGAAAAGCAACTTCGATATGGACTTGGAATGTCCAGCCAGATGCCCTTCGTATTGCTGCTGTTTTGTAAGTTGTTTCGATGTACAGACGTTCCGAAACAATTTATAATTTCCATAATCAGTTCCAAAGGTTGTGTACTTTGTTCATGAGCAATCGTAAGTCTCGGTCAATCCATAGGGACCTATAGTCATTGGTTTTCGTTTGGTTATGGGAACATCGTCATCAATATGGAACATTTTTCTAGTTAACAAGGCTCCAGGCATTATCGACGTCTGAGGGCTGGGGTAGACTCCAAGCCTGCTCGCTAACAGCCATCTTCAAGTGGTTTGGATCAGCACGCCAGAAATTCCGACGATAGACACAGTGGTTGTGAATACTGAACCGTGTTCGAGTGAAAGGTAAGTAGGCAGTGTTCACTCCTTCCGATTAGTGGTAATAGCTTCAACTCAGAAACATCCGATTGTGCAGACGAAAGCACTAGATCGAGTACTTGCGACATCCGACCAGGGACGATGCGAGTAGGTTCCGCGAAAGGTGGCAGTAGATTGCATTCAAGCAGAGCTTCCAGAAACGTAGAATCGAAGGAGGCAGGTGCAACATCAGTGAAGAAGATCCCAATCAATATTAGGGTCATTATAGTCCCCTACTAATTAACAATCCTTATTTCCACCAAGCTTCTTTAGAGACACCAGCAAACGACCACCAAAACTCAAGGTAGCTCTGCAGAAGCCACGGAGAAGCAGCTCTTTACCTCCCTCGTGAATACGACACCAAAGCACTTCAGAGCAGTCATCACCACCAAAGGCAACTTCAACTACATGTAGCTTCAGATTCTCCTTCCAATAGAGTGTGACGCTGCCCCCGAACTCAAATTAATGCGATCAGCTCGTGGGAGACTTTACCCGGGAATGTGTACTTCGGGAGCTGGGATTTCGGGGGACAAACATGTCTCCGTAAACGCCCTAAGGTCCAGTAAGAGTATTGCCGTGAGGTGCAACACTTCATCTAATCTGTCACGTAGACAGTGCACGTTCGCAAAAGGTACGTGCAATCCACTTGTTGAGCTTGGTATCAAGAAAGGAGAAAAACTGACTTCCAGCACTTTCTCTGTCTTTCCCGAACCACGCCAAAATGCTCCATACGCAAAGCGTCTTCATCCTTCTCACTGTGAGTTCGCAATTCATCTACTGCAGTCTTCATTTTAACGCGGTCCTCCGGGGATAGATTCCGTAACGCATGAAAGTGCTCCCTCTTGAGGCGCGAAGTCCGTCAAAGGATCCGACGGCATTCACCTTCACTTTAGCCTACAACCTTAATGGGACGCATCTTGGAAGAATCTTCACATTTTCTGCCAAGTCGAAAAACAGAGGTTATTAATCCCCCATTCCCCTCATGGAACAGTAGGGAGACCCTTCGTTTTAGAAATAGTTGCTCATCCAAAATTCTCTCTGATGCTGTTGTTTATCCTATTCTGGCGAGCTAAATATGATGGGACAACTTTCCCGGGTAGAGACTTTGGCGGTCTCGAAGATCGGTGGTTTAGAAGGCGGCTTGTCCTTGAGCAGTTTCTCCAAATGGTCGATCCTATGAAGAATTGAGTTCAGCCCGCTCTTTGGATGTGACACTTTTTCTGATACGGGCTTAGCTATAGGCTTACACTTATGCACAGCGGGAATCCGGCTTGTGGGAGCAGCCGCCGTTTTCTCCTTGACGACGGCCGCAAACGGCTTGGGCGGGGGATTATTGGGCTGGTCACCGGACACTTGTAACTCCGAGAGTGAGACAGGAATTTGTGTAAAATTTGGTGTGACGATCAGCAGCGTACAAAGAAGGAAAAGAAGTAGGCGAATTTCGGGAACTAGTCGGTTGGGGATCGGTTGACCACTAGCGGAGTGGGGAGTAAAAGCGGATAAACCAGACCGAGCACGCTGGGGGTTGACCGAAGTATGACACCCAGCGCACATGATACAAACAGAGGATGCTGCCTACGGCTGCAGATACTCATAAAAAGTTGACGCGACACGACAACAAATGATATCCAACCAGCCGTCGCAGTAAGAACATAGAACAGCCCTTGAACGGGTAGTGACACTTTACCACAATCTAGGCACTTGGACGCCATGACGAGCGGTAGACCAGCAGAAGATTCCCAGTATTTTGCGCACCTTAAAGTCCGTCTGAATTACAAGAAAACGGACACACTTAACCTTATCAAAGCGAAAACACACGGCGTTCGCTATCGGTGGCCTTGACACGATGATGTACTAGCAGGTGATCTCAACCGGCTAGATAAACGATTTCAGTATACTTGATACCCCTAAAACCCTTCATGATTGTAATGGTCCCCATTAGATCCTTTCTTAGTCTGCGCAGTTCTATTGAATAAAGACCAATGCCCCTTAGGAGCTCAGCGTATGGTTTGTCACCTTGACCCTTAACCATCCTAGTGGTCAGCTTTTGTACTTTTTCCAAACAACCCACGTATTTCCGGTGGTACTGTGCCTAAACCTCTACATAGTCCAACGCAGCACATACGCACGAAAACTCGTGGTAACTCCTTTTGAACTCGTAGGTCCTTAAGCTTCGGATTTAGATCCACTTTTCCAGTTTACGTTAAAAGTAGGAGGGTATTTTACGAAGCATGCTAAATATAGTTATAATTACTTGTTTCTCTTGTTAACATTATGCATATGTTTACTATGTGAATGCTTCGTTTTAGTGTATCTTAATCCTACTTATTGAATTGTGCGTACATTTGACTACACCTTCGCAAGCCTGTTTTGGATGCAATTTTACAGAATATGACGCTGCAGTTAGTTACATAGTAAGTTTGATGTGCGACAGCAATAGGTTTACATGTGCATTGCTTTTAGTCCTATGATTGCTTAACAAACATCCCGTAGTTGTTCCTATATTTTAGTGTGCAAACGAACT